GATGTTACACTCATCAAGAGCTTTCATTTGAGTGCCTACTTGCATTTTTGATATATTTTTTATATATATATATATATATATATATATATATATATAAAATATATGAAACATTAATGTTGGTACTCAAATGAAAGCTCTTCATTCGCGTAACATCAGGATGAGCTTATACCTTCAAGATATATATTACATAAATTATAAATTAAGAAATGACCTTGTATTTCGTGAACTATTGACATATTTAAAGATATAAGCTCATCTTTACACTACACTCATCAAAACTTTTCATTTGAGTACCCACATCAATTTTTCATATATTTATATATATTACATATATGTATATATAAAAAATATATCAAAAATACATGTGGGTACTCAAACGAAAGCTCTTAATAAACCTATCATCAGGATGAGCTTATATTTTTAAAATATATAATATATACATTACATAAATAAGAAATGACCTTGTATCTTGTAAAATATTGACATTTTTTAAAATATAAGCTCATCTTGACTTTACACTCGTCAAAAGCTTTCATTTGAGTACCCACATTAATTTTTCATATATTTATATATATTACATATATGTATATATCAAAAATGCATGTGGGTACTCAAACGAAAGCTCTTGATGACCCTAACACCAAGATGAGCTTATATCTTTAAAAATCTCAATATTTAAGAAAATACATTGCAATTTACCGAAAGTCACTTCATTTTTTTCTCCCAGGTCAGGGAAATAGTCGAGTACCTAAGCTCCGAAGACACCTGGTCGGACTCTTACGACTCTTCCGACTACACCAGCTCAGACCTCGAAGGCGCAGCAAGTAGATCTACTCTCCAAGAACAAATCTCTGCCAGCTGTCAGCAGATCATCAGCAATTTCGACATGAACTCTGAAACAGCTGACCAGGAGCCTAATAAACCAACAAATATTAAGGACACTGCCTTCGTTTACCAGAAGCTGGTCCAGAGTTTTACTAAAATAGCAGGCGACAGCTCAGACGCCAGCTCGACTCCTTACAGCAGTCCCCCGCTGATAGCTAAAGTGATGCACCATATAGGCAGCAGGTTGGTGGCGCTGATGCACCAGGTCTCGGAGAACAACTCTCCGTCAAATTCTTGGAGGAGGTATCCTCAACACACTAGGACTCCTTCGTCAGCATCGACGACTGAAGACGAGTCTACGTCGGAGTCTGCGCAGCAGACTCCGACTTTTAGCCACCTGCAGCTCCCCAGGTCTAAATCACACGATCCTTTGTTGTTAATCAACAGCCACCAGGTCACCGGAGCTGAGAGTGAAGAAAGAGAAGAGAAAGAGACGAGCGACTATGAAAGGTTCTCCTGGAGAGGAAGTTTTGAATCCGCGCTCATGGCTGCTGACTCCAGGAATAAGTTGAGCTTGATAAGCTCCGGAGATATTGGAGCCACTGCTAATGTCCTGGCGATGGCTGCTAAGCGACGCTCTGCTGGAGATTTGCTGTTTAATCCTAAAAGCTTCTCCAGGGAGCAGCTGGATAGAGTTAGAAGCTGTGGGTCCATTGGAGCTAGTAATACTATTACTACAACTAGCTCAGTTGGACAGGGGTCGGTTGAAGAGAAGATCTGGAGCAATAGGAGAAGGTCATCGGTTCCCGATGACCCCAGGCACAGAAGGCGCAAGTCTGCTGCTGAGAAGGACCAGGAGGATAATGATTCGGAGTTTGAGTTTAATGAGTCAAGGGCTATGACTTTGCCGAGAGGACTGCAAACTCCGACGAGTACTTCAACGACTAATTCGCTCCCGAGGTTGCCGGCTATTACTTCCGCTATGCACAAGGCGCATAGCATGTACCACTTTTTGCCTTCTAATACTGGAGTCAAGTCCGCAAGGTAAGAATTTTTAAATTTGACATATGTAATTAAGAAATGACCTTGTATCTTGGGAATTCTTGACATTTTTTAAGGTATAAGCTCATCCTGAGATTACACTCATCGAGACCTTTCATTTGAGTACCCACATCAATTTTTCATATATATATATATATATGAAAAATATATGAAAATGCATGTGGGTACTCAAATGAAAGGTCTCGATAAGTGTAATGTCAAGATGAGCTTATATCTTCAAAAATGTCAATAATTAAGAAATGACCTTGTATCTTGTGATGTATTGACATTTTTAAAGATATAAGCTAATCCTGAGATTACACTCATTAAGACCTTTCATTTGAGTACCTACATTAATTTTTCATATATTTCACGTATTTATATATACTATATATATGTATATATGAAAAATATATCAAAAATCTCAAAAATCCATGTGGGTACTCAAATGAAAGGTCTCAATGAGTATAATCTCAGAATGAGCTTATATCTTTAAAATATACATTATATATACTACTTAATTATGAAATTACCATTTATCTAGTGAATTATTGATATTATTAAAGATATAAGCTCATCCTGATGTTACACTCATCAAGACCTTTCATTTGACTACCCACATCAATTTTTCATATATTTCACATATTTATATATACTATATATATATATATATATATATATATATATATATATATATATATAT